TTTCCCATCTTATGTTTAAGTACTTTATCCATTTTGAGTTTATTTTATGTATGGTGTAAGTTGGTGGTCTAGTTTCATTTTTTTTTTTTTGCATGTATCTGTCCAATTTTTCCAGCACCATTTTTTTAAGACACTGTCTTGACTCCATTGTATGGTCTTGCCTCCTTTGTCAAATATTAATTGAGTATACTGGCTTTGGCCGATTTCTGGGTTCTCTGTTCTATTCCATTGGTCTATATGTCTGTTCTTGTGCCAGTACCAGGCAGTTTTGGGAACAGCAGCTTTGTAATATAGCTTGATACCTGGTATTGTGATCCCTCCAACATTGTTCTTTCTCATGATTGCTGCGGCTATTAGGGGTCTTTTTGATTCCAGATGAATTTTTGGAGAGTTTGTTCTAGATCTGTGAAATATTCTATTGGTATTTTAGTGGGAATTGCATTGAATCTATAAATTGCTATGGGTAGTATGGAAATTTTAATGATGTTGATTCTATCACTCCATGAACACAGTATATTCTTCCATTTGTTTATGTCTTTCTCTATCTCTTTTTTCAATGTCCCGTAGTTTTCTGAGTGCAAGTCTTTTACCTCCTCAGTTAAGTTTATTCCTAGGTATCCTAATTTTTTGTTGCAATGGTAAATGGGATTGTTTTTTTAGTTTCTCTTTTTGTGAGTTCATTATTGGTGTATAAAAAAGGCCATAGATTTCTGGGTTGTTAATTTTGTATACTGATTCATTTCCAAATTCATTTATTAAGTCTAATATATTTTTGATGGCGTCTTTAGGGTTTTCTATGTACAATATCATGTCATCTGTGAATATTGACAGTTTTACTTTTTCTTTTCCAATTTGGATGCCTTTTATTTCTTCTTCTTGTCTCATTGCTATGGCTAGCACTTCCAGTACTATGTCGAACAGGAGTGGTGAAAGTGGGCATCCCTGTCTTGTTCCTGATCTTAGGAGAAATGGTTTTAGATTTTGTCCATTGAGTATGGCTGTAGGTTTGTCATATAAGGCTTTTATTATTTTGAGGTATGATCCCTCTATTCCCACTTTGCAGAGAGTTTTTATCAAGAAAGGGTGTTGGATTTTGTCAAATGCCTTTTCTGCATCAATTGATATGAATATGTGATTGCAGTCTGTTTATGTGATGTATCATCTTCACTAATAAAAGACAAAGATGCTAATTGACTGTAACTTCACTACACCCTAAGGCACGCCCACCAGCCAGTCAGTGTGACTATATGCAAATTAACCCAACCAAGATGGTGGCCGGCAGCCACGAAGCTGGAGCAAGCAGGAGGCCTGGTTCCCCGGGCGATGGAGGAAGCCAAGCTTCCCACCTGCCCTGAGCCAACTGTGGCCTCTGCTAATGGCAACAAAGTTTCAATTATAGAAGCTAAATAAATCCCAGATTCCTGGTTCCAGCCAGCCTCCACTGGGAGCTTGGGTGGCTGGGGGTTGTGGCCAGCCTGCAAACAGCCATCAGCCCCTCACCCAGGCTGGCCAAGCACTCTTATATAATAAAAGGGTAATATGCAAATTGACCCTAACAGCAGAAAGACTGGGAATGACTGGTCACTATGACACACACTGACTACCAGGGGGCAGATGTTCAATGCAGGAGCTGCCCCCTGGTGGTCAGTGTGCTCCCACAGGGAGAGCTCTGCTCAGCCACAAGCCAGGCTGATGGCTGCCAGTACAGCTGTGGTGGTGGGAGCCTCTCCCACCTCCTCAGCAGCACTAAGGATGTCCAACTGCACCTTAGGCCTGCTCCTCGCTGTCAAGTGGACATCCCCCAAGGGCTCCCGGGCTGCCAGAGGGATGTCTGACTGCCATCTTAGGCCCAATCCCCCGGGGAGCGGGCCTAAGCCAGCAGGTGGTCATTCCCCGAGGGGTCCCAGGCTGCGAGAGAGCACAGGCCGGGCTGAGGGACCCCCCCAAGTGCACAAATTTTTGTGAACCGGGCCTCTAGTGTTTATTGATGTGCAGCCTTGCATCCCTGAAATAAATCCCACTTGGTCATGTTGTGTGATCTTTCTAATGCAATGTTGGTTCCTATTTGCCAGAATTTTGTTGAGGATTTTAGCATATGTGTTCATCAGGGATATTGGCCTGTTATTCTCTTTCTATGTAGTGTCTTTATCTGGTTTTTGGATTAAGGTAATGCTGGCTTCATAGAAAGAGTTTGGATTCCTTCCTCTTGAATTTTTTGGAATAGTCTTGAGGAGGGTAGGTTTAGTTCTTCTTTGAATGTTTGATAAAACTCCCCTGTGAAGCCATCTAGCCCAGGGCTTTTAGTTGCTGGAAGTTTTATTATTATTATTATTATTATTATTATTGCTTCAATTTCCTCCATAGTTATGGACCTATTCAGATTTTTTCATTCTTCCTGATTGAGTTTTGGATGATTGCATTTTTTTAGGAATATGTCCATTTCTCCTAGGTTGTCCAGTTTGTTGGAATAGTGTTTATTGATTTTAGAGAGAAAGAAACATCAATTGGTTGCCTCCCTGCTGTGCCCTGACTAGAGATCAAATCCATATCCTAAGTATGTGCCCTGACCTCGAATCAGACCTGCAACCTTTTAGTGTACTGGATGATACTCCAACCAACTGAGCGACCTGGCCAGGGCGGTTTATGTGTCATTTTTATATTTTAAGTTTAAAAGCCTCAAATTCCTTATATATTTCTTTAGATTGTAAACATCTTCAAAGCGTTTACCAAGTCCTGTATTCCTTATGAATTTTCTATGGTCTCCAGCAAGGATAGGATCCAGTAATGGGCTTTCAGATTTACTAGTATAATGTCTGATAAAACTAGGACAGCAAAAATGAAACAATATTGAACACTTATTAGTTAACCAGGAAATGGCAGTTGTTCTCATTTTTCTCCCTAAACTTACTTAACCACTTTATTGGCTTTCTGTTGCTGCCATAACAAATTACTACAACAGTTAATAGCTTAAACAACACATTTATTATCATACAGTCCGTGTGTTTCGTAAGTTCTTCACATATCTCAGTGGACAAAAGTCTAAATGTTGACAGTGTCATTTCTTTCTGGAGATGGTAGGAGAGGATCTATTTCCTTGTTCATTTGGTTGTTGGCAGATTTCACATCCTTTTCATTGTAGTACCAAGGACCCTACATGCTACCCCTTTTTAGTCACACCTTTCTCCCACCACAAACCCTGGTACCCATGATCTAGTCTCTGTCACTGTAGCTTGTCCTTTTCAGAATGTCATATGAACAAAATCATATAATATGAAACATTTGTATCTGACTTCTTTCACACAGCATGTCTTTGAGATTTATTCAAGATGTTGCATCAGTTGTTTGAATCTTTATGATTATTATTCCATTTTATGGATACATCACAGTTTACTTAGCTACTTATCCACTGAAAGACATGTGGGTTATTTATGGAGATTATGAATAGAACTGCTATTAACATTTGTGTATATGTGGGGGTTTTTTAAACATGGTTTTCATTTCTCTAGAGTAAATACATAGAAGTAGTAGTGTTAAGTAATGTGTTAAGTGTATAATGTTTTAAGAAAATACAAAACTGTTTTCTAGGTTGGCAGTATCATACCACAAGTAATGTATGAAAGATCCACTTTTTCCACATCCTCACAATGTTTGATTTTACCAGTTATTTTTTACTTCAGCCATTCTAATAGGTATTTTTTAGAGTAGCTGTTGTTTTCACTTGCATTTCCCTAATGACTGGTAAATTTGAACATTTTTTTAAATATATTTTATTGATTTTTTACAGAGAGGAAGGGAGAGAGATAGAGAGTCAGAAACATCGATGAGAGAGAAACATCGATCAGCTGCCTCCTGCACATCTCCTACCAGGGATGTGCCCACAACCCAGGTACATGCCCTTGACCGAATCGAACCTGGGACCCTTCAGTCTGCAGGCTGACGCTCTATCCACTGAGCCAAACCGGTTTTGGCTGAACATTTTTTAATGTGTTTATTTGCCATCTGTATATCTTCTTCAGTGAAGTGTCTGTTCATGTCTTTTGTTCATATTCTAATCAGGTTATTTATTTTACTTTCATTTTATTGTTGTTTTCAGTATTCCTTGTAGTTGTAGTAAATATTTCCCCCAGTCTGTAGTTTGCCTTTTTATTCTCATCCTAGTTTTTCACAGAGAAAAACTTTTAGATTTTGATTAGGTCCATTTTACCAATTTTTTCTTTTTTTATTATGCTTTTGGTATCGTGTTCAAGAACTCTTTACTTAACCCTAGATCACCAGAATTTTCTCCGTTATATCCTTCTCTTTTTTATTTAGATCTATGACCTATTTTGAGATAATTTTTTTATAAGATAGAAGAAGATTGAGGTGAGGTTCATTTTTTTGAATATGGATGTCCAATTGTTTCCACACTGTTGAAAGACTATCCCTTTCTCTATTGAATTGCCTTTGTACCTTTATTAGAAATTTGTGGGGATATATTTATGGACTCTGTTCTATTTATCTGTGTGTCTGTCCTTTTGCCAATATCGATAAGATTATTCTAAAATTCACATGGAAAGGCAAAGGAACTATAATAGTCAAAACAATTTTTAAAAAGAAAATGTTGAAGGAATAACATTACTTAATTTTAAGAATTACTATTAAGTTACAGTAATAAGATATGATATTGGCAAAAGGACAGACACACAGATATATATATATTTTTCCCATTTTCTTTATCCATTTATCACTCACTAGAGGCCCTGTGCACGATTTCGTGCACCAGTGGAGTCTCTCAGCCTGGCCTGTGGGATTGGGCCAAAACCGCCTCTACGACATCCTCTGAGGGGTCCCAGATTGTGAGAGGGTGCAGGCCAGGCCAAGGGTGCACGATTAGGGCCAGGGAGGGATATGGGAGGTTGGCCAGCGAGGGAGGGACCGCAGGAGGGCTCTAGGGTGTGTCCGACCCATCTCGCTCAGTCCCAATCGGCCAGACCCCAGCAGCAAGCTAACCTACCGGTCAGAGCGTCTGTCCCCTGGTGGTCAGTGCACATCATAGTGAGTGGTTGAGCAGCCTTAGCATATCATTAGCATATTACGCTTTGGTTGAACAGCTGATTGAACAACCAGATACTTAGCATATTAGGCTTTTATTATATAGGATGGACACTTTGGTTGTTTGTATGTCTTGGCTATTGTGAATAATTCTTCAATAAGCAGGGAAGTGCAAATAATTCAGATAGTCATTTCTTTTCCTTCAGATATGTATCCAGAAGTATGATTGCTGGATCATATGGTAGTGCTAATTTTTTAATTTTATTTTTTAATTACAGTTGACAATGTTGTATTAATTTTAGGTATACAATATAGTGATTAGACATTTATATCCATGTATCCATATTGATATAAATAATAAACATATACATGGGAAGAGGGGAAGAACTAACTAAAGTGATAGTTCTATTTTTAATTTTTTTAGGAACTTCCACACTGTTTTTCATAGTGGCTGCACCAATTTGCAATCTCACCAACAGTGCATGAGAGTTCCCTTTTCTCCACATCTTCACCAGCATTTGTAAGCTCTTGTCTTTTTAATAATAGCCATTCTGACAGATATGAGGTGATATTTCAATGTGGTTTTTATTTGCATTTTTCTAATGAGAAGTAATATTGAACACACCTTTTCATGTATGTGTGGGCCATTTGTATATCTTCTTTGGAAAAATGTCTATTCATGTCCTTTGCCCATTTTTAAATTGATTATTTGCTTTTTTGCTTTCCAGTTGTATGAGTTCCTTATATATTTTGAATATTTATTCCTTTTCATATCTATGGTTTTCAGACATTTTCTTCCATTCCATAGGTTGCCTTTTTATTTTGTTGATTATTTCTTTTGCTGTGGAGAAGCTTTGTAGTTTATAGTCCCATTTTTTATTTTTATTTTGTTGCCTGTGCATTTGTTGCCATAAAAACACACACAACAATGCTGAGACCAGTGTCAAGGTACTTTTTCCCACATTTTCTTCTAGGATTTTTATTGTTTCATGTCATATTAAAATCTACAGTCCATTTCAAGTTAATTGTTGTGAGTTGTGTGATAGGAGTCCAATTTTATTCTTTTGCATGTGAATGTCCAGTTTTCCAACACCATTTATTGAAGAGATTGTATTTTCCCCCCTTGAGAATTCTTGCTCCTGTGTCAAATATTAGTTGATCACTATATGCAGGAATTTACTTCTGGGCTCTCCTTCTTTTCTATTATTGGCCTATGTGTCTGTTTTTATGCCAGTAACATACTGTTTTGATTACTATAGTCATGTGGTATAGTTTGAAATCAGGAAGTGTGATATATCCTGCATTGTTCTTACCTCTTAAGATTGCTTTGGCTGTTCGGGGTTTTTTGTGATGCCATATAAATTTAAGATTTTTCCTATTTCTGTAAAAAATATACATTTGGGATTTTGATAGGGATTGCATTGAATCTATAAATGGCTATGAGTAGTATAGACATTTTAACAATATGAATTCTTCCAAATATCGTGAACACAGGATATCTTTATATATATTTGTCTCTTCTTCAGTTTCTTTCATCAGTGTCTTATAGTTCTTAATGTACAAATCTTTAACCTCCTTGTTAAATTTATCCTGTGTATTTTTTTGTTGTTGATGCTATTGTAAATGAGACGTTTATTTCTCTTTCAGGTGGTTCATTAGTGTGTAAAAATGTGGCTTATTTTTGTATGTTGATTTTTTTTTATACTGCCATACGTCTTTTTTGTTCGGTGCTTTCTCTTTCAAAATAAAGATAATGAACATGTTTTGTGAGATTTATACCTATGTATTCATTTTTTGGAAGGAGAAACTGTTGGAAATATTTTATTTTTAATTAGTTTCCATTTGTTTGTTTTTTCCATTTGTTCATTGTTGTTAAATAGTAAGCAATATGACTGATTTTTATGTGTTGACCTTGAATCCTGTGAATTTGGTAGTTCTACAAATTTTTTTGTAGATTTCCTTGGGAATTCTATGTAGATAATCTTCTCAAATACAGACAGCTTGATTTCTTTCTTTCTAATTTGTATATCTTATATTTTTATTGATTTATTACAAGTTGTCAGGAGTGGTGAGGGTGGAGATTTTCCTTTTTTCCCATTTTAGAGGGTAAGTATTCATTTTTTTACCTTTAAGAATAATGATAGCTATAGATTTGTTTATTTTCCTCTTATCAAACTAAATTTTGATTCCTAGTTTGCTGAGAGTTTTCATCCTGAACAGATGCTGAAATTTTTTGAAATTTAAATGCTTTTTCTCCTCGCTTGATATGATCATGTGTTTGTGCTTCTTTAGCCTGTTAATACGGTAAAATGCATTTTCCAAATATTGAACCACCTTTGGGTTCCCTAGTAGAAAGCACCACTTAGTCTTTTTTTTTTCATATATTGCTGAAATTGACTTGGTAATGTAATACATGGTTGAAGATTTTTGAATCAATGTTCATGAGAGATTGGTCTATAACAGTGGTTCTCAACCTTCCTAATGTCGCGACCCTTTAATACAGTTCCTCATGTTGTGGTGACCCCCAATTTCATTGTTACAAATTGAACATAATTAAAGCATAGTGATTAATCACAAAAACAATATGTAATTATATATGTGTTTTCCGACGGTCTTAGGGCGACCCCTGTGAAAGGGTCGTTCATCCTCCAAAGGGGTCGCGACCCACAGGTTGAGAACCACTGGTCTATAATTTTCTCTCTTTTTTGTACTATTGTTATATGTCTTTGGTATCAAGGTAATCCTCACCTCATAAATTGAATTGGAAAGAGTTCCTTTCTTTTTTATTTTCTTGAAAAGATCGTTTATATTTAGTGCTATTTCTTCTTTAAGTGTCTAGGTCTGGAGTTTTGTCTGGTTTGGGCTTAAGGGAAGGTTTTAAACTACAAATTCAGTCTTTAAAATAGTTATAGGAATACTTATGATAGCCATTTTATCTTGGATAAGTTTTAGTAGCTTCTAGTTTTGAGGAATTGATCCATTTAGAAGTTTTCAAATTTATGTGTGTAAAGATGTGAACCTTACAAGTCTGCTTTTAAGAAAATAGCTAAAATTACATAGTACTTACTATGTGCCTGGTATACTATTAAGGATATACTCTATTAATTTAATCCTCACAACCTATCCTAAGAGGTACTGTTATTAATCCTCCTGATTTATATTTTGTAAACTAATTATGTACTGACTCACAGGTTGCTTAGTGGGCATATAGAATTTTTCATTTTAAGTGTAAGTAGCTACAAACAATGTAATATCTGACACATTGAAAACACTGACTTTTTTTCTATTTATTTTTTTCTTTTTAAATTTATTGGAATGGCATTGGTTAATGAGATTATATAGGTTTCAAGTGCTCATTTCTATGATACATGATCTATATATATTGGGTGGTAGTAAAGGATATCAAATATATGATGATGGAAGACGAGTTGACTTCGGGTAGAGGGCAAACTTACTATCTGTCATTTAATACTTACTATCAGTAATTTTTTAAAATATGAATAAACTCTTCTTTAAGAATCAGAAATGCATATTATAATGTTTACTACTTGAACACATAGTAGCTCCTGTATTATTTTTTAATATCTGCTGGCTTTGTAGTGGTATTCTCTTTTCATTTCTAATATTAGTAAATTGTGGCATCCCTCTTTTTTGTTAGTCTTGCTGCAGATTTGTCAATTTTATTGATCTCTTCAAAGAATCAGCTTTTTTGTTTCATTTTTTTTCTCTATTTTGTTTTTAATTTTATTGTTTTCTGTTCTTTATTACTTCCTTCTCTTTGTGCTGGGTTTCTTTTGCTCTTCTTTAAAAATATATATTTGTATTGATTTCAGAGAGGAAGGGAGGGAAAGAGAAATAGAAACATCAATGATAAGAGAATTGTTGATCAGCTGCCTCCTGCACGCCCTTGTACTGGGGATCGAGCCCACAACCTGGGCATGTGCCCGTAACCATAATCAAACCCAGGACCCTTCAGTCCGCAGGCTCTATCCACCGAGCCAAACCAGCTAGGGCAGTTTCGCTATTTTTTTATGTTTTAACACAGATGCTAGAATTTTGATTTGAGACTTTCTTTTATACCTTAAGCATCCTATATAATAAAACCCTAATATGCAAATCTACCGAACCGTGGAACAACCAGTTGCTATGATGCACACTGACCACCAGGGGCAGACGCTTAATGCAGGAGCTTCCCCCTGGTGGTCAGGATGCTCCCATAGGGGGAGCACCACTCAGCCAGAAGCTGGGCTCATGGCTGGTGGAGGGAACCTCTCCCGCCTCCATGGCAGCACTAAGGAACAGCAAGCTGAGTGATAAGGAGCAGCAAGCAGGTGGGCGGTAAGAAGTGAGGGGTCCCAGACTGTGAGAGGGATCCTGGACTGTGAGAGGGATCCTGGACTGCAAGAGGATGCAGGCCAGGCTGAGGGACCCCCCTCCCACCCCAGTGCATGAATTTCATGCACCAGGCCTCTAGTTTAATACTATAAATTACCCTTTAAGCACTGCTTTTGGTACCTCCTACAACTTTTGATCTGTTGTTTTTCATTTTCCCTTGGGCCCAGGGGTTCTTTAGAAGTGTGTTAATTTCCATAGTGGAGATTTTCTTATCTTTATGGTATTGATATCTACTTTAAATTCATTATAGTGAGAGAACATACTTTATATGATACCATTATTTTAAATTTTTTAAGTTGTCATTAATTTGTATTGATGTCTCCAGTTATAATCATGGATTTGCCTCTACACTCTGTTCTGTCAGTTATGTATTTTGAAGCTCTGTTACTAGATGCATACACACTTAAGATTGTGTCTTCTTGGTGAATTGGCCTTTATCAGTATGTAATGTTTCTCCATATCTTTGGTAATTTTCTTACCTCCAAAGTCTACTTTAATATTAAAACTAGGGGCCCAGTGCACAAATTCGTGCACCTTGAACTCTGGGCTGCGAGGCCGCGGTGGGCACAGGGGTGGGTCTTGGCCATCCTCTGTGCCCCCACCTGGCCCCTCACACCATGGCCTCCAGTTTCTAGTCTTCTGGCAGCCCCACTCCCACCGCTGCTGCTTCCATGCGCTGATGGCACCGGCCCCACTTGCACCTGCTGAAGGCACGGAGTGATTGGGGCCAGCACCAGCAGTGGTGCAAGTGGGGCTGGCACTATCAGTGGGTGCAAGTGGCAGCTCCAGTGCCAGCAGCGGTTGCGAGCAGGGCTTACGCTGGCAGCGGGTGCGAGAGGTGGCTGCTGGCCCCGATCGCCCCTCAGGAGCAGGGGGAGGTAGAGAAGCCCTGAAGGGTGATTGGGGCCGGCAGCTGCTGCTCTCACCCACTGAAGGCGCCAAGGGATCGGGACCAGTGCCGGGCACTGGCAGTAGGTGCGAGTGGCGGCTCTGGCACTAGCTGCCAGTGCAAGCGGGGCCAGCACTGGCAGTGGGTGCAAGCGGTGGCTCCAGTGCCGGCAGTGGGTGAGAGCAGGGCTGTCGCCGTCAGCAGGTGCGAGAGGCAGCTGACGGCCCCAATCGCCCCTCAGGAGCAGGGCGAGGTGGAGAAACCCTGAGGGACGATTGGGGCTGGCAGCTGCTGCTCACACCCACTGACAGTGCCGAGTGATCGGGGCTGGCACCAGGCACTGGCAGCGGGTGCGAGTGGGGCCAGCGTTGGCAGCAGATGCGAGCACCAAGTGGGATGGTGACATGCAGTAGCAAAGAATTTTTAGTAACCACCAGAGGCTCGCTCCTGACAGTGACAGGTGCCCCAACTTGGTCTGGTGCCCCCACTCACCTGCTCCACTATCCCACCATGGCTGACTCCTGCCATATTCCACGCGTGCCCCCTGGTGGTCAGCACACATCATAGCAACTGGTTGTTAGGTTGTTCAGTTGTTCCGCCATTGGTCTATTTATTTGTGTATTAGCCTTTTATTATATAGGATAATTACCCTGCCTTTCTTTCAATTAGTGTTTCATTGGTATATTTTTTACATCCTTTTACTTTTAACCTACCCATATTATTAGATATGAAATAACTCTAGATGGAGCTTGGTTTTTGAAATCTATTCTAAAATTTCTGTACCTAATTGGATTTTTAGACTATTTACATTTAATGTAACTGTTGATGTTTGCAGTTAGATTTACCATTATATAGTATTTGTTTTCTGTTTGTTCTCTCTGCTTTGTTGTTCTTCTATTTCTCCTTTCCCATCCTATTTTGGATCATTTGAATATGTTTTAGTATTCTATTTTTATTTCACTTTATACTCTATCTCTTTATATAGATTTTTTAGTAGTTTTTATAAGGATTAGACTGTGCATACTTACTTAAATTTTCATTCTACTTAGAACTAATATTTTACCACTCCAGGTGAAATATAGAAACCTATATGAGTCCCATTACCCTCCCTCCTTTATGTTGTACTTGTCACATGGGTTATATAATTTCTCTTGTTGTCTTTCATTTCTGACATTTCAAGTATACCTCTAATATAATTTCCCCTCTTTCTATCCCATAAGCACCCCAACCAGGGAATCAAACCCTTAAGCTAGGTATGTGCTCTGACTGGGAATCAAACCCACAGCCTTTTGGTGTATGGGATGATGCTCCAACCAACTGAGCCACCCTGCCAGGACTGTTTTGTTTGTTTGTTTACACTATTACAGATGTCCCCATTAACCCCCTCTTTGTCCATCTCCACCCAGCCCTCTCCCCCTCTTCCCTCAGGCCAATACTATACTGTTGTCTGGGTCTGCTATCTTTTTGAATCATTGTCCCTTCATATTTATGTATTATGTTCTCTGGCTCTTTTCAGGATTTTTTTACTTTAGTTTTCAGAGTTTGATTGATGGTTTCAGTCTGGAATTTGGAGGCTTTATTCTGCTTGAGATTCAGTTTACTTCTTGAATATATTGATTTGCATATTTTATTAAATTTTAGAAATTTTTAAGTATTTTGTTTTTGTATTGTATTTCTATATCAGGGACAGTAGAGTGGGAAGAGCAGAGAGCAGGGTCAAAGAAGACACAAAATGAGAGAAATGTGAACTGATCTTTAAAGAACTAGATGAGTAGAGTTATTTAGATGGAAAGGGTAATGGATCCTAAACAGAGGGAACAACTTGAGGAAAGGCAGGTACAAATATGTATGGCATGTGTGTATGTGTGTTGTAGAGGAAGAGATGAAAGCAGGAAAAGAAAATCTGATTCAGTTAGCCACTTTGCCTTATTAGAGATTGCAAGCACATGGTTAGAAATGGTTAGAAACACATTGGTATGAATTTCAAAAATGCAAGTTTTAGAATTTAGTACATGTGCTAAACTAAGTAATCAGTCTTGTATTTTGGGCAGATCTATTCTGCCATTGAATATAAGTCTTTTGGATTTTTAACTAAAATTAATTGCATTTGACATCTTTGTTTTTACCTACCAGGACTTCCATCTTAATGCAAAATGAACAAGCGCTACCTCTTTTTACCTAAATTTGTGATATTTTCTCTTGACTTTTTAAATTAAACTTTTACTTTTGATATAATTATAAATTCACAAATAATTCAAAAGTAGTTTTAGATTCACATATAATACAGATATGCTATGTACCTTTTACCTAATTTCCCCCAATGGTAACTAACATCTTGCAAAACTATACTACAATATCACAACCAGAATATTAACATTGATATAGGCAAGATATAGGACAATTCCATCACCACAGGGGTCCCTAGTTGCCTTTTATACACCCACCCTCCCCTCTGACCCATTCCTAACCCCTGAAAACCACTAATCTGTTCTCCAGTTTTATAATTTTGTCCTTTCAAGTATATTATTTAAATGGAATAATACAATATATAACATTTGTTTTTGGATTGGCTTTTTTTCACTTTCCACAGTTTCTTGGAGATTGATCTTTTACAGCTATAATTCTGAGTAGAATTTCATGACTTCTTTTTCAGCTATATTTTGCCATTATTTGTAAAAACAGGAGTTTTTCTCATCTATATATTTGCTTTGGAATTTAGACTAAAAGCAAAACCTAGGAGCATCCTAGTTGTCCTTTCTAGATTGCATGTTAGTCATTCATAATGTATTAAGTCTTACAGGAGAGAAAATCTTATGTACAAGTATAATACACTACTTTTCTTCTCTTAGATTTCTTTTTTTTTAATATGTTTTATTGATTTCAGAGAGGAATGGAGAGGGAGAGAGATAGAAAAATCAATGATGAGAGAGAATCACTGATCGGCTGCCTCTTGCATGTCCCACACTGGGAATGGAGCCTGCAACCCGGGCATATGCCCTGTCCGGGAATCGAACTGTGACCTCCTGGTTCATAGGTCTATGCTCAACCACTGAGCAATACTGGCCAGGCAGTATAGCTTTTTTAACTTTATTTTTATTGAAAATACTATTACAGATGTCCCTATCACCTCCTCACCCCCAACCCCCACCTAGCCCCTCCACTCAGCCCCTGCCCCTCTTCCCTCTGGCCAACACCACACTCTTCTCTTAGATTTCTTAAAGTAGAAGAACAAAGCAAATCAGGGAGAATGCTACTTGAAAAATATTTAGAACAGCCTCTGTTCCAGAATATCTTCGTGCTAGTCATGGATGGAGCAGGAAAGAGCCTGTTCCTGGATAGCACTCAGCAGAGAGAGAAGTATGTTCACATTACAGGCGAGCATTAGGATCTTTCTGTTTTCATTAATCAATATATTTTTAGTTGTTGAACCAAAATTCTAGCCCCAATAATGAGGGAAAGAATGGAGACTTCCAGTTTTTAAGTTGTGGTAAATAAGTCTGGGACCACATTCTGAACTATGTTAAATGCTCATCTAAGGAAGGAGCCTAGATTATTTTATTCCAAGGAGA